TGGAACAGGCTGCCCAGGGAAGTGGTTGAGTCTCCATCCCTGGAGGTATTTAAAAGACAGGTAGAGGTGGTGCTTAGGGACATGGTTTAGTGGTGGACTTGGCAGTGATAGGTTAACAGTTGGACTCGATGATCTTAAGGGTCTTTTCCAACCTTAACGATTCTATGATTCTATGGTTCTATAAAGTAAAATTTTCTGGCTTTCAGCTCAATCAAAAGCTTACAAGTTAGGCCAGTCCAAAGAACCTGCAGAGATTTTATAATCTTTATCAGTAAGCCAGGCCACATTTCAGGACAATTTGATTTTGCTTTGACAATTCATTTATTTCAGGTAGATACTAAACAAAAGCAAGCACACACACCATAAATCAAAGCACAGACCATTGGCACCGTGGTCTGAAAGACTGCCAAGCAATGTGTTGCTGTTGGGCTTGATTTTATTGCTACTTGTATGCAAAACCCAAAGGGAGTGAAACCAAATTCTCTTGCAGACAAAAATACCCTTCACAAACCAAACCTATTGTTCCTCATGTTGCTTAAGTCGTAAGTGGAAAACCAGAATGAAGTGAAAAACCAGAATGAAGTGGAAAAGTAGAATGAAAACAATCAGGAAGATAAAGACAAGGCAAAAGACAATATGAAGACAAATAGTAGGAAAAAAATACAAATGCCTCATTTCAAAATGCATTCTGAAATGGATGCTCTACGACAAGCAGCATTGCAGGCAGAAAGGGTAGTCCTATTTGTGATTAACACATATAATCAACATATTTAGCATTAACTGTGCTATTTTAAAATAGAATGTAAGCAACTTAAACTTCTGTCCAACTTCTTAAGTATTCAGGCTGAAATTTTCCACTCAGGATGTTTGCTTCAAGCTGTTTGCGTTCAAGAAAACGGCTTTTATTTCGAAAAACAAGATGAGGAAAAACATATGTTCCTTCCATACTTATTTGTTTTTTGCAACTGTAGCATCTCTGAGCTTTGCAGAAGGAACTTTCTATCTGCAAATCACATTTATAATAAAGGTAGAAAAAATATATGCAAGTTGTAAAACTTGTGTAACTGAGAAAGAAACCACAACTTGCACAGGGTTAAGAGACATAATGGAGATTGCCAGTGCAATTCTCTGAAGATCCCACCTGCATGCAGCTTGCTCTAGCAGAATATGATTTCAACTCGCAGTTATGGCATAACACGTACAGAAGGGGGAACAAAGCTTAATTTTGGCAGGACATGGCTTTGCAATTTCAATCATATCCTTTCAGCACTGTTTCCCTCTGTGTGTAGCACAAAGCTGCACAAACTTTGCAGATGAAGGTAGTGGGCGGCACTACACATTGCCCTAGTTTTTCAGCAAGTGATACTCATAATAGGTAGCAATCAAACTTACGTATTTTCCTTAAACACAGGGACATGTCTACATGGCCAATGAACAAACTAACTTGAGCCCCAGTAGTCTAGCCAGGACAACATGGATCTCAGAAATGACTATTTACTTCTGATTAGTAAATTAGCAGGGATCTCTGCTTTACAAAACTACGCTGCCACCAATGCCCTCTGAAACTGCTGTGCAGAGTACACAAACCCTTCGTGTCTTTCCGTGTGATCAAGAAAGGTTCCTCAGCTGTAGGTCCCATGAACAATAGCTTACCAAGCCCTCTTAAAAAACACAGGTCATCAGTTACAATAAGTGGGAAGCGCCAGGAAAAGAACATTTTTGAGGGGCAAATATCCCTTAGCTACATGACCCTGAGATAAGGCAGGCAGCCAACAGCTTTTCTGTCCTCTGCATCTGAAAGGGCAAATCCCTCTTTGGGGCAGCACTTCTGTCACACACAGACACAAATTGAGCTAACAGGTAAGACAGCACAAAGCTGTCTTCCTGCTACCTGATGGACTCGAATATTCAGGCACCAGTGGATCTGAGTAGAGAAACAGATGGACAGACAGACAGGATTGCTACATATTGCCCGTAGAAATCAAAACAAAACAAAGCCACTGAACAGCTTGGCCCTCATGTCTTGCAGCTGTAACACTAGACACAGAATCCCTGCTGTATAATAGCAGAGGAAAAGAGCAAGGGAAAGAAAGAAACACTCAGCATTGGGGGTGGGAGGGGTGGAGGGGTGAAGAAAGACATAAGTCTATTTTTAAGTCATCTGTATATGTCTGGTGGTCCAGTTAGTGTCTGTGAAAGCACAGTGACATAAAAGGTCACCATCCAGAGCTGCTGAGAATCCAAGTAACAGTCTGCATTGCTCTGCCTCTTCTCTCCGATATTTGTGCGGCATTTCACATAATTTTTGTTTCCTTTAACCCTGACTCACATTCCTCTATTCCAAGACACCTCTCTCCCTCCCTCTCCAGAAAGTCGTTTTTAAAGCTGTGTTTTTCCCAACAGAAATTTCATATATTTTAAAATGTCTGTTCACTTAACCCCTAAACTTGTAAGCACACACAGAGGTGGTTCCACGTATTTAAACAGTCCCCATCAACTTCATGGACTGTATCTACATAAAGATGACTTTTTTCATGACAAGGTTCTGCAGTCCTTTCATAAATTGTCAGGTTCTTCAATAAATAAAGATTAAAAGCCCACTAAACAGTACTTGGAAGTTAAAAGGATCCTGAGAACCTGTTTCTTTGTTATGAATATCCACATCTGCTTCTGATTTTACCATCAAATGAACCTGAGCACCAGCCATAACTCAAAACAAGGTGCTGAATGACCTGTTTAATTGAGAGCACAGACCAGCTGGTCACTACTACAAATTAATAATAAGGGATAAGTGCAAACAAAACAAAACAATTAACGCTCTTGATGATTGCAAAGAAATGCAGGGGGCCACTAGAAACACCTTGACTTTGCCCGTTTTAGTACCAGTTTTCTTGTCTACGCTTCTTTCACAGGACTGATAGATCAGTCAGTTTCAGTAATCCTTCCAGATCTTAAATAAAACATTCTTTTCACATTAGCAAAAAGTTACTACCATCTGTATTGTATTCAGTCTCTGTTTAGTGTGTACAAATATCTGGCAGACTAGCCATTTTCTTTGTGCCAATAACAGTCCTTAGAATTAAAAAATGAAGTCTTGTGCAACAAAAAAGTTGTCGTACAAAATCCGCCTCTAGAAATTCACTACTGTAAGGCAAAATGAAAGCCTATCAGTACAGTCACAAAAACAGCTAAATCTCTAAATTCTGTGATTTTAGGATTAACACAGAGTTTGTGATACAAAATCAGGGGATGAGTCTCATCTAAGACCAAAGACTTCTTCAGTCATTTGACAGCCACAGCAATGATGTCGTCAAAGGTTCTTTGTTACTGCCTCGATTACATGTTCTGCATCTAACCCATAAACATTTG